TCTGGGCAGCGGGAGGCAGTAACTTTGCATCTTCAGCTGTGCAGGGAACTACCTGGAGGTCAGGCTGGGGTTGGCAGGGAGCACTCCCTAACCCATCTTCAAATGTTTATTAAATAACGTGTTCTGGGGAGAGCACTATGCACGTCCTCTGGGTTACAAGAAGCGGGAGATGTAACCAACTCTCAAGAAATGAGCCACAACCCATTGGAGATGTGCTATCAGCGAATTGATAAAGCGTCACCAGGGGGAGATGTGGTTTGAAACTGGCATTCCTCGGTGACATTGGGCGTGGCTGCCGTACCTTCCTGGCCCCTGTTCTGCATATGCTGGTAATACCCCCTCCTTCCTCATCGCAGAGACCACCCAAAATACCCCCACACCTTTACAGACATCTTCTAAAATTGCCCTGGTTAAGAGCCTCTGATTTTAAATAGAGAGGTTGCCCAAGGACTTGCTTGATGATTTTCCAAACCCATCCCTTTATTAAGTTACCAGAGTAATACTACAGGATCATCTTATTTTCTCCAAAATTCTTTTATAAAAATTGTTAACATATGATACTTACAGTGAACACCCGTATACCTACCACCTAGCTTCTAACATAAACATATTACTATATCTGTTTATCACATATTTATCCATCCCTCTATAATCCATCCTTTTATATCACATTTCAAAATAAGTGGCAGACATCACTATAGTTCCTCCTAAATACACATCATTAGAATTCAGTATTTGTTTACACTTTTGTATCCTAAAACCCTATCAAGGTAGAATGTAGCTATAGGCTCGGAGTGCCCTTCTGCCCTTTCTCCCAGACAGTCCCACCCACCCCAGAGGTGGCACTTGTTTTAACTTGCTACCATAGTGTTGCCTGTTACAGAATTTAAATGCGATCCTACACTGTGTCTTCTTAACTCAGCACTCAGTGTGGCACCTTCACTCGGACACATAACATAGGGAAGCTGTTTGTTGTCCTTGAACTTAAAATTCAGAGAAATCCAATGGGTCAGGAACAGGAGTCCGTGACTAGAACCCAGGCCCCCAAAGATGCCCACATCCTAATACCTGTCACCTGTGAATTGTTACCTTACATGGCAAAAAGGGAATTTGCAGATGCATTGCCTTAAGGAGCCTGAGGTGACAAGATTATCATGGATTATGTGGGTGGGTCCATTGTGATCATAGGGTCCTTAAATGAATCAGAGATGTAAGTACAGAAAGACG